TTTGCCCAGTCCCAGGAGGGTTAAGGAAGCACTCTGTAATCAAACACATTAATATTTTTGCAGCAAAACAAATGAATATTCAAAATAGACAGGATAAATATAGCCTCACATCAGTTCACATAAGGTTTTGCCACTCAATGAGTTTGTGGCAAACTTGCAAAGAACCTATCAGCAGCATTCTTCGGACTTCACAATCGCAGATATGGGATGATGGACCCGTCTCTCCTTGGGGGAGGATTTTAATTAGGAAACACAACTTCATTAAAGATGCTCTGCAAAGGAGTAAGTGCTACAACCGATAAGAGGCAATAGCAGCATTATTGCTGCTGCTGCCGCCATTGCTCCTCGGCATACTCTTTTCCAAACAGAACTCGGTTTGACCCCACAGGTGCCTTACTAAGGCTGGTAGGATGAGGCAAAGCGGCCAAGAGTTCAGGGCAACTTCTAAACTCCCCAAACTGGCCAGAACCAAGGTCAACGGCGACGAGCCCTCTACGTGGTCACCGACTAAAAACAGAGCGACTGGCCACCCGCGAGAGACACCAAGGCAAAGGGCCAGGCAGAGCTCTGACACCGCAGCTATATGGCCAGGCACCCTAGAGCTGGGCCCAGGGAGGGAGCTGGCTGAGACCATTCCTTCTGGCCCCTGAGCGAGAGCCAGGCCAGAGATCCCACTCTGTGTGCAGAACACACACTGTAGCTGGCCTAAGGCAGTGGTCGGCAAACTCCTTAGTCAACAGAGCCAAATATCAACAGTACAACAACTGAAATTTCTTTTGAGAGCCCAATTTTTTAAACTTCTTCTTCTAACGCCACTTCTTCAAAATAGACTCGCCCAGTCCGTGGAAGAGCCACATTCAAGGGGCCAAAAAGCCGCATTTTGTGGAAGAGCCACCCACATTCAAGGGGCCAAAGAGCCTCATGTGGCTCGAGGGCCACAGTTTGCAGACCACTTTTTGTCTGGCACTCCGACGAAGCCAGATCCCACTCCCATCCTGCAGCGTTGAATTCGGAAACATCTTATGACCAGGCCAAATGAGCCTGGGGAGGCGGAGGGCTACAAATGATGACTGTGTTCCACTTAAGTCAACATACGTATCACACTTGTATGCAACTCTGAGGATGAGAAGGTGCGTCTGGCCCACAAGCCTATGTGCAGAATTGCTCCAGCCTTTCCAAAGAGAAAGAGAAAGAAGAGAGACTGAGCCTCGAGGGAGATTCCAGTCTTCCAGAAGCGTATTGTGACCCTCCCAACCTCACCCTCCCTCCTTCAGTCGTATCTTCTATGATGCAGGCCTCCTGGGGAAGGTTTTGGAGCCCAAAGCTTGCTGTTCTGTCTGCCCGAGAATGTTGCCAATCAGGTCTTCTAACTGTCCTGACTTCCTTCTGAAAGGGTATTTAGGTGTGTAACTGTTCTGACTTTTACAGAAAGGGTATCTAGGTACATAACTGTTCTGACTTTTACAGAAAGGGTATCTAGGTATGTACCTGTTCTGACTTTTACAGAAAGGGTATGTATGTACGTAACCTCTGACTTTTACAGAAAGGGTATTTAGGTACATAACTGTTCTGCCTTTTACAGAAAGGGATACTTAGGTACGTAAGCCCCATGTGATTTATTCAGGTAGTGTCTCTGTCTGGCCTTTCCTCCAACCCATGACCATGTCTGACATTGTTTTTACATCTCACCGAGCAATATGGGGACCACCACTTCACTACGGAGTTTCCTTCCAACTTCCTGTCACGTTAACAGGCTCCTCTCTCACCAGCTTGGGGCCAAGGCATGAGAAATCCTACTGATGGCATTCCATACAAGCTCTCCTTCCCGCCCCCTTTCCCAGCAATCTCCCCTTCCTTCCTCTCCATGCCCTTCTGCTCCCCAACAACTGCAAGGCACTTAACCTTTACGACACACTAGCCTACGGGCCTAAAAATAAAATGGGGGGATGGGGTAAGAGATCAACCAAAGGACTTGTATGCACGCACATGAACATAACCAATGGATACAAACAGTAGGGGGGTGAGAGCATGTGCTGGGGGTTGAGAGTGGCTGGGGAGAGGTCAATGGGTGAAGGGAGAAACTTATGTAATACTTTAAACAATAAAGAATTTAAATAAAGTTTTTTTTAAAAAAAGACTGAATAAATAAATAAATAAAATAAAACCTGTCCAACTGGCATGGCTCAGTGGTTGTGCCTCAACCTGTGAACCAGGAGTTCACAGTTCGATTCCCGGCCACGGCACATGCCCCAGTTGTGGGCCCCATCCCCAGCCAATTCAGTGATCGTCACTGATGTTTCTATCTCCCTCTCCCTTCCTCTCTGAAAACAGTAAAAACGTATTTAAAATTAAAATAAATCTGCCGCCTGTTATTTCACTACACTCATCGCTGCTATAGTATTGCCAATTCCAGTCTCCCGGTGTTGTGTTGTTTCTGTTTTTGCTGGTAGTTGGGATGTGGGGGAGGAACAGAGAACCAGAGGAAGTAGGGAAGTGGCACCTCCATCTAGGAGCTCTGAGACGGAGAGAGAGGGGGTAAGGCTGTCTGACCAGGAGCTGAAAGGCTGCCAGTCTGAGGAGGGCCGGCATCGCAGGAGCGTGGTGCCCTCCTTGGTCTCTTTAGAGCCTCCTAGCTTCCCGCCCCGCACTGCCCCAGCCCCTGGTTCCCGGGCTGCAGCAGCTCACTCTCCACCCTCAGTCAAAGCGCATTCTCCATGTCAGCAGCCCACAGCCTGCCACCGAGGGCCCAGGACCAGCCCCTCAGCACCCCAAGTCCGCGGACAGGGCCGCTCCCCACAACGCCCGCAGCCAGCCCAGCCCCACGCCCCACGGACGGCCGCGCTGTGGACACTAGCGCTGAAGCTCGGGTCCAATGGGGTCAGGCAGACGTGAGACACAAACAGGACGGGGACAGGGGGTCAGTTCGTCACCCACACCGTTACTGGGTCCTGTCACAGCTCTAGGGACTTCTAGCTATTACTTCATTAATTCAGCGCCACACCCTGCCAACCACCTCCGTTTAAAAAAGTAACACAGGGAAAGTATTTTTTTAATAAATAAATAAAAGTAACACAAGGCGCCGAAACCGGTTTGGCTCAGTGGACAGAGCGTCAGCCTGTGGACTGAAAGGTCCCGGGTTCGATTCCGGTCAAGGGCATGTACCTTGGTTGCAGGCACATCCCCTGTGGGGGGTGTGTAAGAGGCAGCTGATCGATGATTCTCTCTCATCGGTTTCTAACTTTCTATCCCTCTCTCCTCCTCTCTGTGAAAAATCAATAAAATATATACTAAAAAAAAAGTAACACAAGACTTATGGAGTATCGCACCGCCAGGCCCCAGCCCCTCCCAGGGGGTGCAGGGCCCCCAGGACGGGAACGTGGGAGTCCTGGGAGGGTGGCGGCTTGGTGGCCTCTCCAGGAGAGAGGCAGCCGGGCCTGCAGAGCCAGCAACTCATTTCCTTTCCACCGGAGCCCACTTCGCACAGCCCATCACTGAAACAACTCACATCCGGAGAAGACGAGAAGCCTACCGGGTCACGTTTGAGGAGCGGGTTTCCTCTTTAGGAAAGTTTGAGCAAAAACAAACACTACCTCGGTCTACTTCTGAGCGGCACAAGCATCGAGCCACACCTTAGCGGTGGCTGTTTTTCCGCAGCCACCGGAAAAATCCGCTAACACTGAGCTCGGCGGCCCTTTCCACAAGGTAAGGAGCCCTCAGCACCACAGCGAGGTATTGTCACTGTCACAATCCGGCTCAGCTTGGGGTCATCAGACAAACCTGCAGACGCCTCCCCCGCTCCCCACACCTCCTCAGTCACATCCCCTCCTACACCAATGAGAAATGAGGAACGGGGTAGACAGAAAGGAGTGCAAAAGTGCGGATCCCCCAAGAACAGACCGAGAGCAGGCAACAGGGCACACAGGCCAATGTTACCACAATGAGGACAGAAACTGGACTTCTCCATCCCACCTATCAGACCCGGGGCGGCAGGGGAAATGATGGGCATGCCCTTATGACAGATGCAGGCTGACACCAAACCCTACTGGTGAGTAACTCTCAGAGCGTCTGTGCTAGCGGCACAGTCCTCTTCAGGACTGAATGGCTCCAACGTGCCAAGGGGTAAAGAGCTGAATCTGAACCCAGCTCTGCCTCCTCCTCTCTCTGAGATCCTGGTGAAAGGTCTCGGTGTCTTCCCATGTGAAAGCAGCACACGGCCTGCACCTCAGAGGGTCGTAACCAACATGTGACTCCACAGCAAGCACTTAGCACAGGACCAGACATGTCCTAGGAGCTCAGTGGATGGTTAGTTCACAGAGAAGGGCCAGAAGCCAGAGGAAGCCAATGCTGGCCCCACATCTCCCATACCCATCCCTCCCCCTGGATTAATAACGTAAATCGGCTCCTTCTAAATGTGCTTCTGGAAAGAGAGAATGAGAAGGGCTAGAGGAAGCCAGGTTCCTGGTGATGAACGTTCACCAGGAATGACGTTCAGACAGACAGGCAGCTGCTCCAGCGCCTTAAGCAGCATCCGGCCCCTCCCATCCTCCTGAGCTGCAGGCGGCCTGCCTAGGCAGAGACCGATGGGAACCGGGTACCTGAAACCGGGCGACATGGCCAGATCCAGGCCGTGGGAGACCTTCATCCTCAATCCCCTCTTCCTTCTTCCCCCCCTCCCCTTTATCAGTCACTCCAGGCAAAGGAGAACAGGTCCAACAGCAGAACAAGCAGCAAGAGCCAAGAGCCTGGTAAGATCTGGGTCCACACATTCCCCAACACTTAAGAAATATCCTAGGCCCCTCACCACACTTGGAAAGCACACCCCAGTCCCAAGACTTAGAAAGACGTGGGGGTTTTTTGGTTTTGTTTTTTGTTTTGTTTTTTACAAATAGCAGGGAGCACAAGGAGTCGGGCACCAGGACTTGGGAGCACCCAGGTCCGAAGGCAGGCTGCCAGGATCGGAGGTTTGGGCCGGGAGACAGTGGGACCAGGGAGAGGCCTACCTGTGCTGCTCCACAGCCTCGTTGTCGGGGAGATCCACCCCGCACACGCTGCACGGCTCCCCGAGGGTCCGGCTCTCCGCCTTCATGCCCACGGCCAGCTCGCCCAGCTTGCTGAACAGCTCCCTCTGGATGAAGCCCTGCGGCAGCAGGCTCCCATAGGTGCTGAAGTCCATGGACACGGCCAGGGCGGGCTGCACCTGCACGTGCAGCCCTGAGGACACCGACGACGGCATGCTCAGCACGGAGTCGGCCTTGTGGTTGGGCAGCACGGAGTAGACGCCCAGATGTTTCTCCGCCGTGGGCGCCAGGTGCTCCTGTCGGCCGAGGGGGCCCTGGCCGGCCTCCACGGGGGTGGGCAGCTGCTCGGCGCTCTCCTCGCGCCCGTAGTGCAGCTCCCTCGCACTGGTGATGACGCTGCTCCGAGTTGGGGTCCCGGGCCCCTCTTTGCCCCTTTCCTCAACCTTGTCCCCCAACCCGCCTGAAATGCTGGACTCGGCTGTCCCAGGGCTGTCCTGGCCGGGCACCTCGTCCACCTGCATCATCTCCGTCTTCACCTCCACTACCCCAGGGAGCCGCCCAGCCCCGGCCAGAGCAGGTTCGTCGGGCCCTGCAGGGGGCTGAAGGGTTCCCTGCAGGAGAGACTGTCCAATGGTCATCAAACTGTCCACAGCAGCCTTGGTGGGACTCATGGCGGAGAGACCGAACGAGGTGGACACGGACGGGCTCTGGTCCGCCATGGGCCCGGGGAGGCTCTGCGCAGCCACGCCGGCGTACCCGCTCTCCTCGCTGGAATGCTTCGAGATGAAGATGTTCTTGAGGTACCGGGCCTTGCGGTCCTCCTCTTCCTCCACCCCGCCGTCCGCCATGGTGGCCTCCGTGTCATTGTCGTCGGTGGCCTGGATGGTCTCCAGGATCTTCAGGCACTGCTCCTCCAGGTACTCGATTTCCAAGATCTCGGCGGCGTATAGCAGGTCATCCAGGTCCTCCGCCTTGGCCTGCAGCGTGGCCGTGTAGGCGTACTCCAGGATCTGCTGGAAAGTCTTTGGCGAGAGGAAGTCCAGCGTGTAGTGCTGGCTGTTGCGGTGGAAGAGGATCTCAAACATCTTGCTGGTGCAGGCCAGCACGGTCCGGTGGGCGTGGAACTCCTGGCTGTCCACCATGATGACCACGTCGCACAGCGTCCCGGCCAGCCGCATCTGGTTGGCCTTGCACAGGAGCCCCGAGGGGTGGCTGGGGTTCTGCAGCTGGATCATGCCCATCTTCGTCAGATCCATGGCGCTCCCCGCGGCTTAGGCATGAGGCTCTCTTTCCTTCCGGGCTCTGCGAGCGTGGTGGGGCAGGCCGAGTTTCGTGGGCCAGTGGAGAGGGCTAGAAGGGAGGAAGGGGGAAGAGGCAAAAGAGATGACAGAAGAAAAGGTAGGTTAGTCAATGTCCCTAAAAGTAAGCATTCAAACAATACAACCACCCTCATTCAGCTAGCAAGAGCATCCTGGAGACTTTAACAGAGGGGAAGGGGTTTCCTAATAATATAGGCCCAATTCGCTGTTTGATGAAGAAGAAGATGAAAATGACAATGGAGTCCTCGAATCCCTGGTCTTAAGTCTAAGAGTGGTGGGTGGGCAGGGGTCCTGTGCCAGGCCAACATGTGAGGAGGAGGTGCCAGCACTTACTGAAAATCAGTAAGAACTGAGCCACTTCCTTCAGTCCATGTAAGCCCTCCATTTCACTTTGAACCCCCCCTTCAGCAAACTTCACCTTCAAGACCAGCCCTGCTTCCCTGTGGCAGCCCCAGGAGCACAGCCAAGCCTGGCTGGGCTAGCAGCCTGCAGTCTGGCCCACAGAAACCCAAGGGCAAGGGCTGGTCTCCAGCCCCATCCTAGCACATGGGCGCACACTTACATAAGGTGCCTCGCTAGCCCCTGCCCACGCTGCCCGGTGGACAAGAGGATCTATGACATGTAGGGCAGGCCGTGGAGAACCTGAGGGAGAGGATAGGAAGTATGGACCCCTGGAGCCAGGAGTGTAATCTAGGCATATGAACTCCAAGCGTGTCCCACCGGCTCTCTGGAGTGGGCCAGTCCTGTGACCAGGAGCAGCAACTGCTGCTGGGCACGGCTCCCGGTGCTGGAAGGGACACTGGCACCAGCATCTATGGTGCGGATTACAACCAGTATGAAGGGAAGACAGGGCTGGGAGACAAAGACCTGCCCCACAGCAAGCTGTTGGGGATCAATAACAGGGCTCTGGGGCTTTGGGGACCAGCCCTCTCCCCCCAACCCGTTTAAAGACTTAAAAGACCTCAAAGGCCGAGTTCCCTCCAGCCCTGCCTTGCTGTGGTCCAGAAATGAACTGGGAGCAAAGGTTCCCCCTAAACCTCTCAACGCCCCCAGCAGGAGCCCTACGGGTTCCAGAGCCAAAAGCTCCGGCAGAAAAGGCAGGACTGTGTCTCATCCAGACCGCTGGCTGCCCAGCCTGGTGTGGGAACTGGGGCCATTCATCCTCGCCTATATGGCTTTTCCACAGACTACTTAGGGGTTTCCGAGAGCAATGCAAAGAACGGAAGCTGGGCAACTGAATTCCTTCCCCAAAACAAGCTCCTTGGGTCCCCAGGGAAATCAGGGTGCCCTCCGTCAGCCGGCCGTCCCTCCGGCCGCGGGCGGCTCAGCGCGGCGGTCCCGGCGGCGCCCGCGGCAGCGCCCGCCCCGGCGGAGCGGAGGAAAGCGGGCGCTCACCCGCCGGAGCTCCGGGGATCCTCCGCGCGCTCACACACCCCGCTCCCAGCCGCCCCCACGGAGGCCGGGAGGCGACTTCGGCAAACTTGGAGAAGCAACTTTTCCCGGGGATCCAGAGGGCAGAAAGGAAGGGAGCCGGTCTAGGGGAGAGGAAAAGCAAAAGGGACCCCCCCGGCGAAAAGCTAGATGTCCGCGCGGGAGGGCCGGGCTCCGGGGCAGGAGCCGGGAGGAGGTGGACCGCCTCGCCGCGAAGGGGACACACAAAAGCCCCACCGAGAGCGGTGGGAGGAAAGGCAAGAAGGGATCGGCCGGCCCTCTCTCACTCGCCGACCCGGGGCCGTGACCCCCGGGCGCGAAGGGCAGGATACCCGGCCGCGGGCCGGCGCCGCCAGCAGCGGTGAGCCGGCCCCGGCCCCGCGCGCGCGTCCCGGGGAGCGGGGAGGGGGTCCGCACGGAGGAGGCGGGGGGCTCCGCTCCCGGGGCCCGCGTGCGGGGAGACCGTGCGCCTTTCCAGCGCCCGCGGGAGGGACCCGGGGCCGCGAGGGCGAGCGGCGGGCGCGCCGGGGGGAGAGGCGCCCGGACGCATCAGGTGCAGAGCCCGGCACCCACCGAGCGCGGCCGGGAGCGCACCGCGGCGCCGGCGTCACGGCCGGTCCCGCCGGGTGCCGGGCAGGGCCCGGAGCCCCGGGCGCTGCGAGCTCCGCCGCGGCCGCCCGCCCTCCTGAAAAAAGAGGGGACCAAGTCTGATCAAGAAAAAAAAAAAGGACCCACCACGTTTTCCAAAGAGAAACAAAACGCAAGCGAGTCCCAGCCCTGCTCCCCTCCGCCCCCAGATCCACTCCTCGGATCCTCCGGTGATAGCTTCCCGAACGGCCGGCGAATACACACGCACATGAGCCACAGCCCTCGCTCGCCCGCGCCCGCGCCCGGGTCCGCATACACAGGAGCACCCACCGCTCCCTCCCGGCCCCCCGCCGGCCCCCCGCGGCACCCCCGCCAGCACCCCGCGGCACAAAGCCGCGTGATCCCCAGCCCTCCGCTACCGCCCTCCGTCCCCGAGGACCGCTCGGCCCCCCACCTCTCACCCCGGCTGTGCCCTGGAGGGGAAAGGTTGGGGTGGCAGCTGTGCCTAAGCTGACAGCCGGGGCTCCCCCTTCTACTCGACCCCAACCAGCGGCAGCGGCGGCGGCGGCGGCTGCAGCGGGAAGGGAACTGGCCGGATAAAACCAGGCTCAAGCCCGGCGCCGAGTGGCCAGAGCGAACGCGCCCCCCGGACCTCGGCAGCCCCGGGCGGGCGCCGCGGCAGAGGCTCTCCCGGGCAGCGCGCCCCTCCGCGACCCCCCGACTCACCGCGGCCGCGCCGGGCGCCGGGTGGGCGTGCGCGCCGCCGGGGGTGCGGGCGCCGGGAGCGGGCGGCGGGGAACTGTTGCTCTCGGTGTCACGGCGGCAGCGGCGGCGAAGCCCGGCAGTTCGCAGTGCCCGCTCTCATCGCCCTCAACTCCTCTCTGCCGCGAGGTTAGCAAATCACCACCGGCCCCGGCGCCTCCGCCGCGTCCCACGTCAACGCCGAGCCCCCTCCCCTGCGAGGCCCCGGCGCCTCTCCATCTTTAGTGCTGGCGGCGGGGCCGGGCTCGCTGCCCACAGCTCCCCCCTCCCCCGCCCGCTGTCCCCCGGCTCGGCCCGTCCCCACCCCCCGCACACCTCCCCCGCGCTGGGCGCGCGCTCCCGCCCCTCCTCTCCTCTCCCCTCCCCTCCGCGCCCCGCCCCGCCCTCCCCTCCGCGCCGGGCGCCGGGCTTCGCCTGACATCTAGCTGCTGCTGGGGCGGCGGCGGCCGCCGTCCCCGGCCGAGCCGGGAGGCGAGGAGCTCTCGGAGGACTGTGCCCGGGGCTCGGAGCCCTCGGCGGGGCAGCAGAGATGAGTTGCGGGGCCAGCCTCCCCGCCCCCGTTTCCAGCTCCCGGGTTTTTCATCTCCCCCGGACGCGGTCTCGCCCCTGCTGCTTCGGGAGGAGAGCTCCGTCCCGGGCTCCAAGGTTTGCCCCAGTTCCGTGCGTGCCATCTCGCCTTTCACTTTTGCTCAGGGCTCAGGGCTGCACCCCGTAACCCGAGGTCGGTTTGGGAAGGTCGCCCACCCCCGCCCGAGCCCAGGCCCTGCATGCCTGCCTGCCGGCCGCCGGGTGTCCCTGTGCGGGGAGCGGTTACGGTTACCGAGTTGCGGGACGCCTCCGGGCGCAGGGTTCGCGGGCCCCGGCGAGCCAAGTGGCTGAGGGTCCGCGGGGCCCGTCCCCGGAGGCAGCCAGCAGTCCGAGCTGGGCTGTCGCGATCCCTAAGGGAAACTTTTATCCTCCTCAGGCTCGCGCGTGCCCTCGGCTGTGCCCCCAAAGTGACCGGGTTGGAGACGGTTCCCGAGAGCTGCGCCCCGCTCCCCGCCGTCTCCGGGCGGCGGTGCAAGCTCGCCCAGTGCCGGCCCGAAGAGCGCCCCCTGCCGGCGGGCCGCTCCACTTCAGAGCGGAGATCACTCACCTGGGGGTAGAGCCACCGAAGCAATCCGTCCTCCTTGGCCTCGCGGAGCCCCCTCCTGCCCCTTCCCCTGCAGCGTGGCGATGGTAGGAGGCAAAAGAGCTGGAAGCGCGCAGCTGCGTGAAGGCAGAGGTGACCGACTGGCGATCAGGAGCAGAGGCGGGGGTGGGGGTGATGGCGGGAGTGGGGTGGGGAGGCCCGGCTCTAGGTCTGTGGACAGTCAGCCCCCGAGGTCATGCGGTCGTAGCAAAGCCGAGTTTCCCCGCATTCCGTCCCTGGCACGCAGGCGGGTCAAAGGGCTTCCGCTCTCCTCACGTGTAATCGCCTCCCGATGTGCGCCTCCGGCACCGCGCCCGACGGAGAGTCCGGCCCAGGACCTGCGGGGTCAAGGAAGGTGGCAGAAGCCAACCGGAGACGAAACTCCGCGTCCGGGGGCGAAAGCCCAGAAGGCAGAGTCTACAAATCAACCGATCTGGGTTCCCAGGATTGCTAATGGGGGAGTCCCAGGACAGGCAGGGCCACCCCAGCCAGCACCGCTCCTGCCCCTCTCCTCTCCAAGCAGGGCTGGGACCTGCAGGGTCCAGGGAGGGGAGAGAGCAGCCAGGGACAGAGAAGCCACTTAGAACCGCAATGCCTGCCTGGTGCCCGGGAAAGCCCAGGCCCTGGGGGTCCTTTTCATTAACAATAAAGAGCAACCCAGCCCTGAGCGGTGTGTTTCAGTGGATAGAGCGGACTCAAGGGTCCCAGGTTCGATTCCATCAAGGGCATGTACCTTGGTTGCGGGCACATCCCCAGTAGGGGGTATGCAGAAGGCAGCTGGTCGATGTTTCTCTCTCATGATGTTTCTAGCTCTCCCTCTCTGTTAAAAATAAAAAATAAAAATAAATTAAAAAATACATTTTTTTTAAAAGAGCAATCCTGTCATAGACAACTTTTCTAGCCGAAGACTATGCAGTCTGTAAGAGGAAAGAGATTTCAAGAAACTTAAGAAAACTGGTCTGCAAGGAGAGCAAATGGGGAGAGACGCCAGAAGAGGAGAAAAGGCTCTCCCACTGCCTCACCAGGGAAATAGGGAATCCTCACTCTGGGTTCCTGGTGCCTTCTGAAGGGTGCGGCCCGGCTGTCCACACCACTGCCAGCCGCTCCCAAATGCAGTCTCAGGAGAAGCACACCCTTAGCACTTGGTCCTAGGCCTATTAATCCTCAAGTCAGAGGAAGAGAACCTCCAGGAACAATGAGAGAGAAAGAACAGTTCCTCCGTGGCTCGGACTCCCCCACCGCCATACCATACTCACTCTACGTGAAAATCTCCCTTGCTTCATAAACTCTGCCATTAAAAAGCCCGGCCCTTGTTAGTAAGTGTTAAAGAGAGATTGATGTCTGAGTTTAAGAGGTGGGGAAGGTAACAAAAAGGAGGAAGGCAGGCTGCATGCCAGCGCTGGGCTCTGAGCATTTCCACTTGGCACTGGAGGCCGGCCGCATAGCAGTTTGATAAGGTTTACTGGGCCCAGATAGCAGCAACAGCAGCCACACCACCAAAACTGGCACCGTTTTCAGCCAGAGCTGTGTCCTTGGGGCCCGGAAAGGCTGATGAGAAGCCCCAGGTCAGAGATTTCATATGGCAGCACCTAAAGCAAGCAGGATGGAAAATTACAAGCGCGCTCTCCCTCTCTTTCTCTCCCTCTCATATATATTTATGCTGGTTTCTTTTCTTTTTTAAAAAAATACATTTTATTGATTTTTTACAGAGAGGAGGGGAGAGAGATAGAGAGCTAGAAACGTCGATGAGAGAGAAACATCGACCAGCTGCCTCTTGCACACCCCCTACTGGGGATGTGCCCGCAACCAACGTACATGCCCTTGACCAGAATCGAACCTGGGACCTCTACCACTGAGCCAAAACAGTTTCGGCTGTGCTGATTTCTTTTTCCTTTTCTATTTATTTGAGAGAGAGGGGAAGAGGGAGAGAGAGGAACATGGATTGGCTGACACCATCTGTACACACCCAACTGGGATGGAACCCGAAACCTGACTATGTGTCCTGACCTGGAATTAAACCCCCTACCTCTTGGTAGTGGGGACGATGCCCTGACAGACTGAGCCACACCAGCCAGGGCTTTCCTTTTTTTCAGGAAGCTGGGACACCAGTCCTAAAAATAGATGATCCCTCAGCCTGGAGGGAGGTCATGCTGGAGACAAGGGAACAGATGATTTCACCTTTGGATGGGATTCCACTGCTGAATCTTCCCCTTTTATTCACATACCGCCCACTGATAGCAACCGGCCAGAGTGCCGCTTGTGGAAAAGGAGGGTGTGTAGGTCTAAGGGATCTTACAGGGAGGAACAGTAGGAACAATAACGCCTCTGAGCACTATCTGGGAACCTTAACACCTGGCCTATGCTGTTTTATTTAATGCATGTGACAGCCCTATTCAGGCAGGTACTATTATTCCCCCATTTCCGCAGATAAGAGGTATGTTATCCATGATTATAGAATTTATGAAACATCAGAGCTGAGACTTAAATTCTGACTGCAGGGTTCTTAACCTTAGACGATACGGCCTCCAGTGGGATAGACTAGGGAAGCCAGGCTTTTCATTTCCTCCTCTTCTCCACCAAGGCCAAGTGCTGTGCCGCACAGGGCCAAACAGCTGTCCGTGGAATCGGGCCCCGAGGTAAACAGACACATTCTCCAGGATCTCTGCTCTTTCCCGCCTTCCTCAAAATCGCAGGCGGAAGTTGAGGAGGAAGTTTTGAATTACAATAAAACTTGGCCTAAACAGACACCCGGGAAGAAGGCTACCAGGAGGGGTTCTGAGTATTCTAATTGAGTATTAATAGACTGTAACAACGCGTTTTATTCCAGCTCCTCATTTGGAAATAGTTTTTAAAAAGGTAAGCTTTCTAACCGTGATAAATAAGTCAAGGACTCCTACCAGTGGGGAGAAAAAGCTACTTTGCATTTCCCCAAACCTCATGATAAGCGGGGCAGAGAGTATTTGCAGAGAAGGATGCTGGCGGTGGAGCCAGAGTGAAGGCAGTGCCCATCACAACGGAGAGCTCCAGGCTGCCACTGGGGGGACCTGACGTGGTAGTACTCTCAGATCACCTCACTGGGGCCCTGCAGGAAGACACAGCAGACCTTTCCTGCTGTCAGGAAGACCTTACAGTACTTCAAGATCATCATTGCAGCTATCTCTTAGCTAGAGGCAGATGGGGTGAAAAATTACTGAGTTTGCTCAGTGTGGCTCATTGGTTGAGCGCCTCCGGTTCAATTCCAGATCAGGGCACATGCCTGGATCCCCAGGAGGGGGCATGCAGGGGAGGCAGTCGATGTTTCTATCTCTCCTTCTCCCTCTCTGTGAAATCAATCAATTTTTTTTTTTTTTAATTAGGCAGAGTACTGGCTGGTTGCTCAGTGGTTAGAGCATCAACCTGTGGACCAAAAGGTGGCAAGGTTCGATTGTGATCAAGGGCACGTACTTGGGTTGCAGGTCCCCCAAACCCCAGTAGGGGCTCATGTGGGAGGCAACCAAGCGATGTGTCTCTCTCACATGAATGCTTCTCTCTCCCCCTCCTACCTCCCTTTCACTCTGTCTAGAAATCAATGGGAAAGATATCCTCACGTAAGGATTATTTTAAAAAATTAGGCAGTGTCGAATTTGCCCTCAATGCATTTAGGATGGGGCAAAGGTAGGCCTACAGTTGCTCAGATGGAAAGTAATACAACAATAAACTGTTTCGTTTACTCATAACTTGGAACCTACTTTTGCCCCACTCGGCATGTTAATAGGTTTCTTTGGTGTTTGCCTTTTTCTAAATGTTCTTTTTTTTTTTAATTTATTTTTATTGATTTCAGAGAGGAAAGGGGATGGAGATAGAGGTGGAAAAAAACAAACACACAACATCAATGCTGAGAGACACATTAATTGGTTGCCTTCTGCATGTACTCCTACCAGGGCGGGGTTTGGAGCCTGGAACTGAGGCATGTACCCTTGACTAGAATCAAACCCAGGACCCTTCAGTCTGCAAGGCGACGCTTTATCCACTGAACCAAGCCAGCCAGGGCTAAATGTTAGTTCTCGTATGTCACTTTCTTAGATCTCCTCTCCAAAAAACAAGAGGAGGAAATAATCCAGTGGCTTGTGGATTCTGGTTAGCTGAAGCCCAGAAGAGCAAGTAAGCAGATGATTTCTTTGATTAATAATAGCCACCATCTCCCCTGTGGAGTCCTGGTTGGCGGTGTTTACAAACGTGAGCTTCTTCTCCGGGTTCTAAGGACACCCTTCCTCTCCCCTTCAGGGCAGGGGGTGACTTTTCAAAGGGGGAACAGGAGGAGTTACTTCTCTTAGCCCCTGAGGCCTCGGCTTACTGCGCCCCCAGATCTTGAGCTTGAGGAAGAGAACGCGTTTTCTGCCCTCTCTCTCGGGCATATTGCAAATGGTGACCTCACGTTGTCAACTCAAACAGCAAATCTGAGTTGTTCTTGGTGCAAAGATGCCCTGAAGGGGTCGGCAGTGTGGGTGCAATCTGCAGCGGACATTATGGGGAAGTGTGTTCACAATTATCATGGAATGTGATGTATCCTGGGACCAGATGATGGCTGCCATTTTAAGAAAGGATGCTTAGTAAGAGAGGTCCCTCAGTGACAGGCACAGGGCTCGGGCTGTTCTGGAGGAAGCACAGAGTTTCACTGGGCGTCCCACTAGCAAAGCTTTGGGGTGAGGCAGAGCAGCCATTGCTGCCAGCAGTTGGGCATTGTGTCTTCGCATTGTGTTCGAAACGTCATTTGCATGGAAGAGAAAGGCATTTCTCCCTGTGCAGACACATCAGCACCCACACACAGACCCTGGGCCAAAATTTGGTAGTTTTTGGTGATTCTAGAAATCTGCTTTGTCCTGAGAAAGTCAGCTTCACTTTTCTTTTTTTAATATATTTTATTTATTTTTTACAGAGAGGAAGGGAGAGGGATAGAAAGCTAGAAATATCAATGAGAGAGGGACATCGATCAGCTGCCTCCTGCACACCTCCCACCGGGGATGTGCCCACAACCAAGACACACCGGAATCAAACCTGGGACCTTTCAGTCCGCAGACCGACGCTCTACCACTGAGCCAAACCGGTTTCAGCTCAGCTTCACTTTCAAAACTAAAATTCTGTAGCTGTCCAGGGGGGAGGTTCCATCCAGGGTGCGTGAATTGGAGTCCCCAGGCACCATGCCGAAAATTAACCCCCAAGTCCTCAGCAGAAACGGGGGGGCAGAGGGGGGCATTCTGACACTTGGGTGCGTCACGGTGGAGAGGCCAGGAAGAGAAAAGTATGTGACGTTTTCTTAGGCTAGTTAGCTTTAAATCGCTGTTTAACGTGTGAGGCGTGTACAGGTGCAGATTTCAGTAGCTTTCAATCCGTGGCAGCGGTGTTACCACAGGAGTGCCACAGTCATGGACAAAGCCTGCAGGGACATGCAGGGCAGTGTCACACCCATTGGAGGTGCCCCGGAAGCACCACAGTCCACAAAGACAACGTGTGCCTCAGTTGCACTATTCTATGTATTTCTCCCCTGACGGACCTGACCGCCCCCTGCACGGTGAGTGTCTGGAAGACAATGTCTCAGTCTTGTTCAGATTTAGTATTCCTGTTCCCAAGCCTTAGAGCAGAGTATGTGTCTGCTCTGAATGAACTAATTGAATGAATGAAAGAATGAATGAACATATACACCAATTCAGGAGAGGAGGTACCTTTCTGTATCCCAATATTTAGGGCACAATTTTTTATAGCTATGTGTTTTTTACTCACCCTTGAAAAATCAGTGGGATATAAATAAGGGTTGGGAGAAGCTGTGGAATTGAATTGTATATAGCTCCTTGAGGATATAACAGGGTTCTATTCTACTGTATGTCTCCGTTAGGGGCCTAGGACCAAGCTTTTCTCAGTGTTCGAGGGACATTGATAAATACTTATTAAATTGCATTGAGTAAAAGGACGTGGTTTGAATTGCACCTCTCATTGCTCCCGCAGGGGTCTGGTACTCCAGCTGGCCTAAGAAGGGCTCTGGCCTCCTGCTAAGGACACCAGTGGGTGTAGGACTGCTGACCGGACCCCGCACTAGCCCATGAGACATGCGTGTGCACAAGAGTGAGCAGGTAGCGCTGCTGTTACCAGGTGTGGCAGAGCCTGGCCAGCCGTTCTGCGCAGGCCTTCCCGAGCGCACATGGGTTCCATTTTCCATTTGACCTTGATGTTAGGAACAGGGCACGTGACTGAGTTGTGGCCAACGTACGAATTGTGAGCAGACGTCCTATGTGCCACTCCCAGGACTGGCCTACAAAAACTCCCACAGGAACCCTCCATGCCCTTTTCCTTCTGTGACTTGACCCCGTGACCACAGAGATAGTTACCCAGGAAGTTAAGTGCTGAAGATGGCAGAGCCGCAATGGAAAAAGCCTGGATCCCCGAAATGCAATTTGGATGGTAGCTGCTTGCCTACGAAGAACACCCGTTGTGGACTTGATATAAACAAGAAATAAACCTGCGGTGTGTGGAGCAGGATTTGCCAAATAAAACGCAGGAAACCAGTTTAATTTTAATTTTACACAAATGATAATTTTTTAATATAAGTATGTCCCAAATACTACACAGAGCAGCCTCTCTCTCTCCCTCTCTCTCTCACACACACACACAAAACAAAACAAAACAAAAGAAACAAAAAAACAAAAAAAACAAAAATGGTATCTGAAATAAAAATATAAATTAAGTCTTTTTTTTTTTTTTTTTTTTTTAATCCGCTACCCTAGTTTTTTAGCCTTTACATATTAGGGGCTGTTTATTCTAGAAGCTAGCATTACCTTAATGATCACTTTGTTTCATTTGACTGAAGCAGCAGGCCACGGGGTCTGAGCTGGGATTCTGGCCTCGGCACAGTTTGGTTATACACACGGCAGGTCCATCCAGAGACCGAGCATCCTGTGGGGACAGGGCCCCAGCGGAAACCGGGAAATATCCCAACAGTTCCCATGAGCCTATTTCTCTCCACTGCCCCTGCCCCTAGACTGGGTGCTCTGTGGGGACAGGTGACTATGGGTTTACCTCTGTGTCTGCTGCACTTGGCACACGGTACAAGTCGAGAGTTTGGTTTGTGATGGAAAAGCAGATAGGAAGGCATCTTAATGAGGATCTCTCCGAGACCGTAGGGAGTAGAGTCAGAATAGTTGAGAACACTGTCAAGTCAGTGATCTCCTCATCCTCCACTTCCTCGTTTGTCCTTAAACAGACAGAGCCGCATAAAGGCTGAGAGCCTGAGCTCTGACTCACTCACAGGGCTCTCTGTCCAGATACCACCTCTTAGGTCCTGGGTCATCTTGGGTCGATTACTTGAGCTCCCCGGGTTGAGGTGTCCTCATCTGTATTCTGGTCCCACCTCGCTAGATCTGCCAGGAAGATGCCCCAGGGGTGCTTGGCCCACAAGGAAAGATCTGAAAATGTTAGCTGTTCTTAGCAATGACATCAGGTAACCTTCCTTTCCATCCTCCTCCCACAAAAGGCCTTAGGGAAATCGGGAGTAAGGTCTTGCGATACATTTTAAATCTTTTTAAAAGTGAAAGGTGATCTGTGAGCATTTGACATCATCGGAGCTTTGAGCATCTGCTTGTGGCCTTACTCTCCCACTCTTGTCCCCTTCCTTGGGCTGGGATGAGGCCAACAGGCCAATGCAGAGGGAGGCGGGGAATGCCGGAGGGGGTGGTAATTTTCACCTTGGCGCATGACGTGTTTATTAGTGTGCATGTACGTTAAGCACAGCAGCCTAGTCTCCTCACGTTAAATAGCAGTCATGCCCAACTGGCTCTCCATGTACCATTACTCCAAGTGATTGAGCCAATTTCTCTCTCTGCCACCAGTTGAAGTTGTAAACTCCTCAGCCAGATGGGGGGCAATGCTGGGCTGCCTCTTGTGATCATCATGAACCTTTAGGGTTATGCTTACCAGACCCAGGGGTCTGTAGAGAAGCCAGAATGGGGCAGGTGCGGACTGCGGACTCCCCACCACCCCTTGGGTCCAGCCTACCCATGTGCACGCGAGCACTCCGGCTTTGCAAAGAGGCTGCCGCCTGCCAACGGATTTGTGGTTGCTTGTGAGGGGGCCTGGTAGTATGCTGGTGTCCTGTGTTCCGTTTGGCCGGAGATAGGAAGGGGAGTGGTGAAAGCTGGGAAAATTGTAAAAGCTGGGTGCCTCGACACTCAGAAATCATTTGCCAGCTGTAATTTTTGTCTCTTTTCCATAGATTTATTAGCCAGATCTTAAATCATCCAGCGGAGACCTGCAGGGACAGTGGCCACCTCCTAGTTGCCCGCTAATTCACCCGGACCAGGTATATTTTGCATAAGATACAGGGGAGCCAAGAGTGTCTGGGAGCTACCGGGCTGTTAGAAAGCATATATGGGCCTCAGATCCAAACCTGTCACCTCATAGAGTGTAAATGTGGCAGATTTCCCAAGTCCTCACTGCAATGAGGATACCTAGGGTACCTGATGTCTCTGTAACCACAACGAAGTTAAGAAACTTGGCCGTGATCCCACAGCTCCTAAGGGGCAGAGCTGGCATAGAAACCTAAATCTACTGGATTCCCAAACTGCCTCTTTCCTAGGGACTTTCTGCTGCACCCCATGTTTTGGGGAGCAGGAGGCCATTCCCAATGAGGAAGGTGCCACTAGGACTGGAGAGGAGGCCCATATTTCCCCCGTCTGTGGAGAGAGAGAAAGAGAGAGAGAGAGAGAGAGAGAGAGAGAGAGAGAGAGAGAGAGAACACGCAGGCGTGAAGGGAGAACATTAATATGAGAGACAAACATCAATCAGTTGCCTCCCACACATGCTCCCGCCTGAGAACACAGAACCACAGCATGGACACCTGCCTGACCCAAATGGAACCCGGAACCTTTTGGTGCCCAGAAGACGTTCACCAGCTGAGCCACGCCAGACAGGGAGGGCCCAGGGGTGCTTTTTAAAGCCACCTCGTATACCCTGTGTGACAGAAGCAATGGGCTAAGATCACATAAGATTTTTTTTAAAGTATATTTTTATTGATTTTTTTTTTACAGGGAGGAAGGAAGATGGATAGAGAGTTAGAACATCGATAAGAGAGAAACATCATCAGCTGCTGCCTCCTGCACACCCTCCTACTGGGGATGTGCCTGCAACCAAAGTGTGTGCCCTTGGCCGGAATCAAACCTGGGACCCTTCTGTCCGCAGGCCAACGCTCTATCCACTGAGCCAAAGGGGTTTTGGCAGATCACATACAATTTTGGTGAAATCATGTTAGATTTCAGTTAAAAAAATAAATAAATAATAGACAGGAGAATCCAAGATGGCTGCACAGGTAAACACCTAGCCACAGCCGCACACAACAATTTCAATAAAATACAACTAAAATATAAAATGGACATTACCCAGAACTACAGGAAAGTCGACTGACTGAAAATTCTACAACGAGGAGCAAGGAGAAAACCAGAAGGAAGAGCAGAGGTGCTGTAAAAGCCTAAGGTACGGAGACATGCAGAGCGCTCGGAGGGGACGGAGCCAGAGAGGAGGGGGTGGCTCAGTGCCTGCCTGGCGTTCCCTAGCAGGAAGGAGATAAAAGCTCCAATTGTGCTGGGCCCCAGTTCGACTGCTCTGAACCCCAGTTCTAGGCCAGACCCTGGGGACCCAGGCTCATCCATAGGGAGCTGGGCTGTAAGGCAGAACCCCTGGGGATTGGCGAAAGGAGGTCTTGGAGGTGCGCACATTGCAGGCAGAGAAGGGACGGTTGGCTGTGCCGCGGGATTGCCCTGGTGGGAAGGAGACAAAAGCTCCAGACTGCTCTGAACGCCACCTCCAACTCCACTTCCAACTGACCTGAACCCCAGTTCTGGGCTCATTAGGGGAGAGCCTAGACTGTTTGGTAGCAGGCGAAAATCGAGGGCACCTATCTCTCAGAGGTGCTTGCAGCGAGTACTGAAGGACCCGGGGGAATACTGAGACTCAGGAACCGCATAGGGCGGGGCTGACGGAAGCCAAGGCTGTAGGCTCCACCCTGAAACCTTGCCCCATCAGGGAAGCTGCAAAAATGCCAAGACAACAAAATAGATCACAAACGAAAGAAATGGAGGACAAAAAGTGACTGGATATAGAGTTCAAATCTCCGCTTATAAGGTTTTTCAAGAATTTCCTAGAAAAGGTCGATAAGACCTATGAGGATATCAAAAGGGATCAACTAGAATTAACAAGAAATGATAAGGGATCAACAAGAAATAAAGAATACATTGTCTGAAATAAAAAATATTATACAGAGTCCTAAAAACAGAATGGAAGATTGCAAGAATCAAGTCAAAGATTTGGAACATAAAGAGCCAGAAGACACACCTCCACAGAAGCAATAAGGCAAGAGAATCCAGAAAATTTAAGATAATGTAAGAAACCTCTGGGACAACTTCAAGCGAACCAACATCAGAATTATGGGGGTCCCAGAAGATGAGAGAGAGCAAGATATCAAAAACACTGAAAGAAATAGTGACAGAAAACTTCCCCCACCTGGTGAAAGAATTAGACTTACAAGTCCAGGAAGCGCACAGAACTCCAAACAAAAGGAATCCAAAGAGGACCACACCAAGACAAATCATAATTAAAATTCCAAGAGCAAAAGACAAAGAGAGAATATTAAAAGCAGCAAGAGCAAAGCAGGTAGTTACCTATAAAGGAGCACCTATAGAGATTGTCAGCTGATTTCTCAACAGCAACCATGCAGGCCAGACAGGAATGGCAAGAAATATTCAAGGTGATGAATAGTAAGAACCTACAGCCAAAGATAATCTACCCAGCAAAGCTATCACTCAGAATCGAAGGCCAGATAAAGAGCTTCACTAATAAAAAAAAGCTAAAGGAGTTCATCACCACCAAACCAGAATTATATGAATTGCCGAAGGGGGTTCTTTCGGAAGAGAAAGTAAATAAAGATAAAAATTATGAACAACAAATAGGTAACTATCAACAAGTGAATCTAAAAACCAAGGAAATTAAAAAAAAATCTGAGGAACAATATTAACTGTTGAATATAATAGAATCAGAGGTATGGAAGGGGAGTGAACTGACGATTCTTGGGGAAAAAGGGGGAGGGGAATGTGGGAAGAGACTGAACATAAACTGTGCACCTATGGATGAGGACAATGGGGGGTAGGGAAAGGGCAGAGGGTGGGGTGGGAACCTGGTGGAGGAAAGCAATGGGGGGGGGGGGGGTGAAAGGAACATTTGTAATAATATGAACAATAAAAATTTATTAATAAATAAATAAATTAAATTTTAAAAAGCCTCCGACTCCGTTGCACATGTCTAAAATTAAAATGCCAAAAGTGCTACAGGAAGAGAAACTTGGTGAAAAGCAGGAAAGCCAATAAACTGACTGCAGATCAGGGTTTCTCTGGTTGACAAGCCCCATTTCACAGGAGCTCTGAGGAAAGCACTCTGTGAACGGTGCACATGTTTGAGTGCTCAGAAGCTCTTTTCAAACACTTCCTATCTCCTCAGAAAGAGACTTTTCCTTCTGTTGAGTTTTCTGCCCACTGAGTGCCAGCAGTGACAAAGAAAAAAAGTCATCATGGAGGACGGTCCTTTTCTCCTGCTCAACATCTCTTTGGAATGTTCAGAGATGGTTACCTATTGGTTGGTTTTCTCTTGGGCAGATCGGAGAGAACATGATGAAATCATAAAAATGCTGGCTTTCTGACCAGAAGACCTGGATTCAAGGCCAGCTCTGCCCAACTTTCTGGCTAAGCGCTTCCGTGGCCTCCTCGCACGTGGAGATTCCACAGGGGGACGTTTCTAACCATTCTGAGTGCTGGCCAGCTCTCTGAGAAGAACAACAAATAGGTAACTATCAACAAGTCTAAAGCCCATCTCCGGTGTCCTGCCTGGCCTTGAGCAAGTTGCTTCCCCCTCCCGCCCTCTCCCCTCTCCCCCGTGGGGCCCAGGTACTTTGTGGAAAACATGGAAATACCGGACCAGCTTATGGCCATGCCCACTCTGGCTTCTGACACTCCATAATGCTCTGTGAACTCTGTCAGCTCCGCCTGAAGTAGGTGCTAGCACCTTCTGGCTGAGGCACGTTCTGCTGTGGGTGTTTAAAGCAAGTGGTCTCCCCCTCACCGGTTTGGCTTGATGGATGGAGCAACGGCCTGCAGACCAAAGGGTCCCAGGTTTGATCCCCGGTCAAGGGCTCATACCTTGGTCACAGGCTCCTCCGCAGAGGCAACCAATCAATGTGTTTCTCTCACATCGATGTTTCTCTCTGCCTTCCCCTCTCTCTTCCAGGCTCCCTAAAAATCAATGGGAAAATATCCTCCGGTGAGGATTAACAGAAGAATATTTTTTAGCTTCGATTCCTATCATGAGGGCACCGAAGTATTGGGAAACCACCTACCTCCACACAGGAACAAGCAAAGTGGAGGAGGAAAGAGAGAGTGCTCTGGGCTTCAGCGTGGGCAGGAAATGGCAAGGTGCGTCTGCCGGGGAGGGCACTCTGTGGTTCTAAGAAGGAAAAGAAATATCAGCGGTGAAGCCATGGCCAGGTCACAGAGGAAGGAGGGGGGATGGGGCATGGCAACCGTAGTTAGGGGAATGTTTAGCTGTGACCCAAATAAGGTGTCCTGGGTGCAGAGAGGGGGATGGAGAATTAGGCACAGATACAGATACAGATATAGACCTGCCACTTTGAATCAGGTCTGGAGACGCATTTGTTCCTCTGGTGCAGAAATCGTGTCCGAAATGGTACACCCGACGCTAAGCAGATAACATAACTGAAGGGTGCTAGTTCCCACCTCAGGGCCTTTGCACTTGATGTCTCGAGAGTCCTCCCCCTCCCACCTTGCAAGTCTCTCCTCCCAGAGACATCCTGCAGCTGCCGGGGCTGAGCCTCCAGCCCCCTGGAGCCTCTGGGTGGGGGGCGGGGGGGGGAGCTATTTCCTTTGTTTGTGGACCTGCTTGTTTGTTTCCTGGCCCCTCCCTGGAGCCCCCTGGCTTCCCTCTGGTTAATGTAAGTTGCAGGAGGGCAGGGGTGGGCCCTTCCCCTTTGTATCCACAGCACCTGGAACGACTATGCCTGTGTAGAGTGGACCCTTAGTCAATGTTCGTTCAAAGAATGAAAGAAGCAAACAAGATATTGTAGATGTTTTAAACAAACAGGCAGCTGTCCAGGACGAGAGATCTGAGCCCAAGTAATAAACAGGCTGGGAAGTGAGAGGAGTGTGTCCTTCCCCAGGCTCCGGGCTGCCCATGCTGATTGAGCTGCCCCTATTTTTACTGCAGCTGCTTCCAAAAGCAACACCAAGGCGGCTGCCATCCCGCTCTCCCGGGGCGTGCCGGCCAAGGCTGAGGCAAAACAAGCCGCAGGGCCTGGAGTTCGCACAGCCCTGTGCCCAGTCCCTTCACGTCATTTCACAGTTTTATACATGAGGGCACCCAAGCTCACGAAGAGTTAGGACCTGCGAGCGTTGACCTGAGGACTGAAGGGTCTCAGGTTTGATCCCAGCCAGGTTGGGGTGTCTCTCTCTGTCTCTTCCACTTCCCTCTAAAAATCAACAGAAAAGCATCCTCAGGTGAGGATTAACCAAAAAAGAGGATTTATGGATGTAGATCCATGTCTGCCCACCGCTACTGTTTTTGCCTTTGCATTTAAGCATTTTGAACACAGGCTGGCTGCCTCCTGGGGCTGGTCAGCAGGCCAGGACCAGGTGAGCAGGTGAGCACTCCGGGTGCAGAGTCAGAGGAGGCACCACCTCTGGGCATTGACCTGATTCTCAGAGTGGCGCCTGCTTAGCCTGTTATGCTCTAGAGCACATGTGTCAAACACAAGGCCCTCGGGCCAAATCCGTCCCGCCAGGCCTTGCAATGTGGCCCGCACCGCGCTGTCATCACTGCACTCCGCTGCGTTTCCATCACAATGACAGTTTATGACTGTTCAGTAAACCATTAGGCCCGCGATTTAGGCTGGATTTTAGATTTTGGCCCCTTCTCTGATTGAGTTCGACACCCCTACTCTAGAGTCTAGGCCCCATGCCGGCCCTGCTCATCAGCATCCTGCAAATTTCCTCTCGCGTAAGGTGGAACTTCTTTGTCTAGAAACACCGGCAAAATAGCTAGAGGGCAGATCGGTCTGGGGAGGACTGGGCACACTTTGTCTGCTTCTAGCTGCCTCTCAGGAACCTTTGCATGGCCGCTGGAATTGTTTTCTTTTTCTTTTTTCTTTTTCTATTTATTTATTTATTTATTTATTTATTTATTTTTACATATTTTATTGATTTTCCCCCCTCCCTCCCTCCCACAAATCCCCTCCCTCCCCAGAGTTTTATGTCCATTGGTTGTATTTATATGCATGTATACAAGTCCTTCGGTTGATCTCTTATCTCCCCCAGATCCTCCTCCCCTCCCCGCTGTAATTTGACAGTCTGCTTGTTGCTTTACTGTCTCTATATCTATCTTTTGGTTCATCAGTTTATAGTGATCTTTATTATCCACAAATGAGTGGGGTCATGTGGTGTTTCTCTTTCATTGACCGGCTTATTTCACTCAGCATGATGTTCTCCAATGGCATTGTTTTCTAAGGACAGGTCGGTGTCACTCCCGGAGTAAAAACCCTGCAGTGGTTCTTCTCGTGGCCTGCACGTAAGAAAAGGAAGGTCGTGGCCTGGCCTTAGACCTTTACAGGCGGACACCCTCCTGAAAAGCGCTGCCTGCTTCCAGGGCTTCCGACAGGCTGTGCCTCCTGCCCTTTCCTGTCTGTCTGAGAAAAGGCCATTGCCCTGCAAGGTCACCTGTGCTCGAGACGGCTCAGGGATGAGCGCAAAGCTGATGTGAACTTCGCTCCTCACTGGTGGCCGCTTGGGCAGTCTGGTCTAGGGGTGTACGTGGTCCACGGCTGAAGGCTGAGACCTCGCAAGTCAGCCAGGGCCTCCCAGGCTCCTTCCCCACCTCCCTGCACTATTGAGGGGGAAGGGCACCTCCAGAACCCAGCCGGGCAGTACTCACTGTACAGCCCGGCTCAGTGTGACTGCAGCCTTTGAACCAACGGGTTTCTGTTTTCCTGTGACAACACGGCTCCATGTTGCTGGAAATGAAATGAAAGCAGCTTCCAGGGGGCCCTGAGACCTCCCCATCCACCGAGGGCCTGTTTGTGGGTTTTGTCCTTGGGCATCCAGGCTCCCCAGAGTCGCCAGGGTCAGGGATGCCGAACTGTTGTGTAGCTTTAATAAGTGGGCTCTGCCCGGCCTTCCTCCTGGCTCTCCTCCTCCCCACTTTTGGTCAAAGTTAAGGGTGGGGAACATTTTTCTTTTCTTTCTTTCTTTTTCTTTCTTTTTTTTTTTTTTTTTTTCCCCAGGGGCCATTTGGATGTTTCTAATACCATTCTTGGGCCACACAAAACTATCAACTTAAAAATTAGCCTGCTGTATTTGGTCAAACATGTCATTAACGCACTCCTAATGCCTTGGCAGGGCCAGACCGAATGATTTTGCCAGCCTTATACTGCCCTCGGGCCAGACGTTCCCCACCCCTGGTCTGAATGCTCCTCTATTCGTTTTCCTCTCTCTTCTGTGTCTAACTAGTAACTTACCTGTCTCCTTTGCATGATCTTGAGGATCGTGCCCAATCTGGCTGACATTTTGGCCTCATCTCCCCCAGGGAGCTCAGAGCTGAGATCTTCATTCCTGGGAAGAAGATGTATGCACGTGTTGGTTTGGGAGAGGAAAGAGTGTGCACCTATGTTGTAATAATAACTATAATGATAAACAAAAGGACACCCACATTGTGTGCTGAGTGATTTTTCATGCTTTTCTTATGGAGCCGCCCAACAATCCTAAAGGATAGGAAGTGCCCGGCTGGTGAGGCTCAGTGATTGAGCATCGAGCCACGTACCAAGAGGTCATCAGTTCAGTTCCCAATCAGGCACAAGCCCAGGCTGCAGGCTGGATCCCTGAGGCCATACAGGAAGATGTTTCTCTCTTACCGATGTTTCTATCTTTCTCTCCCTCTCTCTCTAAGATCAATAAAAACATCTTAAAAAAAGATAGGTTGAAACTGTTGCTTACCCATTTTAAAGTGATTCTTGTTATACCCACTTCCAAATGAGAACTTTTAGGCCCAGAGCGTTACCTAATTAGCCTAAGAAGGGCTAGTGTCCAGGTGGGCCTGACAGGCATTTAGCTCCAGCTGTTTGGGAGGCCCTGAACTAGTTGTTTCACCTCTCTGCACCTGTTACAGAAATAAGAAGAGACAGCCCTTTTGCTTGCAGTGTTTCCCAAACTTTTCTCATGATGAGAATCTAAGCTTAGAGCACTAGTTAAGTATGCAATTTTACCTATATGTTCCCCAAAATTCTAGTTTAGCACTTCTTAGTTGGGATTCAGGAATCTGTATTTTAACAACTCCACGAGGTGATTCTCATCATGAGAGAAGTTTGGGAAACACTGCTTTATAGGACAGTATGGAGACCTATAATAAGGAATGTGAAGTGCTCTAGTATTAGTAATTATCCTTATTAAATGTTGTTTAGAATATTTTTATTATTTCAGAGAGGAAAGGAGAGGAAGAGAGAGAGGGGGGGGAGAGAGAGAAAGAGAGAGAGAGAGAGAGAGAGAGAGAGAGAGAGAGAGAGAGAGAGAGAGAGAGAGAGAGAGAGAAACATCAACCTGGGCATGTGCCTCGACCAGAAATCAAACTGTGACCTCCTGGTTCATAGGTTGACTCTTAACCACTGAGCCACACCAGCTGGACTATCCTTTTTAAATCTGAAACCCCATGAGATCTGGGGTAGAAGAGAAGTACATAAGACACTGGACATTTTTTAATATGTATGAAAGTTATTTATCTGTATCTGTTTAATTTGAGCCTGCATTTTCCCTCTGGAGAGATCCTTTACATCCCAGGATCTTTGGTTTGCCTGTGGAACTTTATGCTCCTCCAAAGATGGTTCTTTTTGAACCTCTGGCTACTCGGGAGTTAGGTAGACAAATACATGATCCCCGTTCTGCAAGCAGGAAAACTGAAATAGGAAGTTGCTGTCAGGAGATTGCTCAGAGCAGGGATATCTGACATCTCCTCTGGGCCAGGGGCCATGAGTACGGATGGGCAGGACCAGGTGGGGTGCGGAAAGGGAGCCGCTCCCAGTTCATCAGAATATGCATACGCCCCTCATTAAACATCTCTTGTGTCAAACTCTGAGATGAGCTGTGGTTAACTACTTGTCATAATGTGTGTTGTTGTCATTTAAGTAAGTGGTTTTAAACATTTTAATTTTGTCGTTTTCGCTTTGGAGCCAATGCAGCTTTTCAAATGTCAAGCAGTTTCCAGACCTCCGTGGGCCCTCGGGCACTTTGCCTGGAGACATCCCCAGGGAAAGTAATGCCATTACCTTCTCTTCTGTTTTGAGGTGGAGTTTTGGCGCTTTGCCAGACAGATCTGAATTCAAATCATATCTCTGTCACTTACTCTACACTGAGTGGCCAGATTATTATGATCTCTGAACACATAATAACCTGATCACTCAGTGTATTGGTATCTCAAATGGGTATCAAAAGTATTCTAGACTTCTGCTGGAGATCAACCACCTATTTGCCCTGAGCTTTCTATCAGCCAGTGCAAAGGGGAAAACTGATCAGGTGCATGATTTATAGTATCTTTGATATCAAATAAATGAGGTACTCAAGAGTAGTACACTGAGAGGCCAGATTATTATGCGTTCAGAGATCATAATAATCTGGCCACTCAGTGTATAATTCTGTGTCCCAGGAAATTGTTTAGTTCTCTGACTCATCACCCAGCAGGCTGGCTCAGTGGTTAGTCTATAAACCAGGAGGTCACGGTTCGATTCCCAGTCAGGGCGCATGCCCAGGGTACAGGCTCCACCTCTAGTGGGGAAGGGACATGCAGGAGGCAGCCAATCAATGAATCTCTCTCATTATTGATGTTTCTATCTGTCTCCCTCTCCCTTCCTCTCTGAAATCAAATAAAATTTTTTTTAAAATATATTTTATTGATTTTTGACAGAGAGGAAGGGAGAGAGAGAAAGTTAGAAACATCGATGAGAGAGAAACATCGATCAGCTGCCTCCTGCACACTCTCTACTGGGGATGTGATGGCAACCAAGGTACATGCCCTTGACCAGAATCGAACCTGGGACCTTTCATTCTGCAGGCCGACGCTATATCCACTGAGCCAAACCGGTTTCGGCAAAAAATTTTTTTAAATAAATAAATTCTCAGACTCATCTGTAAAGTGGAGAGAGTGATTATGTGTGGCTACTTTTCGGTGTTGGTATATGTTTTTATGTAATTATAGTAAGGTGCCCAGTCCAATGTCTGCAATGAAGGAAGTGCTCAATGATTGAAGTTATTTTTCTGTGGCTTTTTGTCTCCCCTCTGCCTCCACCCCGCTGAGAGGCGGCCTGTGGGCAGTGTCTCTGTGAGAAGGGAGAGTGGGCAGTGGAACTTGTCCTTGTCCTGTCTCTTTGGAGTGGTTACAAGGACAGTGGCCAGGTGAGTGCCAGGCTGCTGGTTGAACTTTAGGCCCCAAGGCTCCTCTCTGGCCTCTGTCTTCCCTGAATCCCTTCATGCCATTAAACGCCAGGCTAAAACCTGGAACCATATCCACAAGAGCCCCAAGTTCAGCCCACAGGTCAAGTCCCAGAATCCCACAGCAGTCTCCTCCTTGGTGAGATAGGGGCCTGGCACGTCCGTCCTGCCCCCTGGGATTGGTAAGGAAACCAAGGAAATGAGTAACTTAAAATAGGGGGAGAAAAGAAAGCTGTGTATGGAGAGAATCAGACCGGGTGGAGCAGAAGAGAGCCCTGATTGCTCTCTGCTGGAGGCCATGACAGCTCCCAGCATGCCTTGCTAGAGGGACAAATGGACAGAAGTCCCTCTGGGTGCATTGAAAGCTGCCCTAGCCTATCTCCCTGGACTTCACACTCTGGTGAAGTCAGGTCTGGTGGGAGTGAGACTGGGGTAGGGAAGACTCCTCCCCCTAACCCAGTGGTCAGCAAACCGAGGTTTGCAAGCCACATGCTGCTCTTTGGCCCCTTGAGTGTGGCTCTTCCACAAAATACCACGGCCTGGGTGAGTCTATTTTGAAGAAGTGCCATTAGAAGAAGTTTAAGTTTAAAGTATTTATTTGGCTCTCAATCGTTGTACTATTGATATTTAGCTCTGTTGACTGATGAGTTTGCCGACCACTGCTCTAACCACTCAGAAGCACCTGAGGCACTTCTCAAAAATGCCTGTTCCTGACCCCACCCAACACCTACCCAATCAATCACTGCCTCTTGAGGTTCAGTAACCTGCATTGTTTTAACAAATTTCCCCCAAATGTTTTAGGATCAAGTATGGAGGGTGGTGGCCTTTTGGGCAGAATAGAGAAGGATCTAGAAACATTTCTCTGTGGATTGATTTAAAATACTATTCAAGATAATATTGGCAACAAACATTTTTAAAAATATGTTTTTATTGATTTTTAAAGAGAGAGGAATAGACTGAAAGAAACATCAAAGAGAGAGGAACATCATCAATTGGCAGCCGGCTGCATGCCCCTCCTGGGGACTGAGCCCGCAACCCAGCATGTGCCCAGACCGGGAACTGAACCTGCAACCTTTTGGGTCCTATGTCGATGCTCAACCGCCTGAGCCACACTAGCCAGGCCAAACGTTTTGATTTGACAAATGTTTACTGCACACCTTTATGTGCAAAGAACTTATTCTCGCATCAAGCAGCCCGGCAGTTTAGAGGGGACGGTGGGCAATCATGACACCGTGTCATGGGCAGTGCTGGGAGCAGGCATGGGCAGTGCCCCAAGGTTTCCCTGGCGGGAACCGGGAACCAGGACTAAACCAAGGAAGGAGGCCTCCCGTTTTCATTTTTGAGGTCCACTACCGTCAATACCTGCTTTCATCTTTCTTAAGCTGAAATGTAGGAAAGCTTCCTCTTTCCCCTGACATTCTTCTTGGAGATGATGAAAGACTGAGCCACTGGCTCGCTCCTGTTTGCGCTTCTGAAATGTGGGTTCCGCTGCGCTCCTCATGTGTGCGGCATCTCAGCCAAAGTCAAGGAACTCTCCGCTTTGCTCTCCTCCAGCCCAAATACCAGCTGGGTCAAAATAAACAGCCCTTGAAATCCAAACTCTGGCTTGTCCCGCGGAAAAGGCAAAAACATTTCTCTCTTCTGTTGACGTTGGCCCCCTCAGTGCCGGGCACGGGGTGCGCGCACAGGGTACCTGGCAGTGACCACGTGGGAAATGCTGGTGCAGAGAGGCACTGGCTGCCACAGCCCTGGGCTGGGGGGTTTTATTGGGGATACTTTTCACAAAGCATGTAAGAGAAGTTGACTCTGGCTCGCAGGCCTGGCTCCTGCCAGCAGGCCGCCTCTGCCCCTCGAGGTGCCCGGACTCAGCCCAGGGCGCAGTGGGCGCCACCCTCTGCCCCTGCAGAGCCCACAGCCAGGAGAGGGCAGGGCCGCCCGCCCTCACCCAGAGCTGGGAGGATGCTCTGTGCGGGGCCACTGCGGCCACTTCCCCAGGCCCTGCTGACCTCTAGCGGTCACAAGGCAGAACTGGCCAGGACGCTGGGCGAGGGCAGGAAGCGCAGGCTCCTCGCCCACCTCCGCGGTGCCCACCCTGGCTGGGCACGTTCGCTTCACCTGGGAGCTTGGAAAAATACCCCTGTCCAGCCCCACCACAGTCCAGTTAGGTCAACATCTCCAAAGGTGGAACTTGACTTAGGCTTTATTTTTAAAGCTCTCCTTCAGGCAGCTTCTAACGTGCAGCCAGGGTCCAGGGCCCTTGGTCAGAACTAGCACTTGCTGGCTTCTAACTTGCCTGTGCTGAGTGAACGGGGTGTGTGTGTGTGTGTGTGTGTGTGTGTGTGAGAGAGAGAGAGAGAGAGAGAGAGAGAGAGAGAGAGAGAGAGAGAGAGAGAGAGAGAATATGGCTGAGTCCTCAGGTGTGTCTGAGCCCTGGGTTGGGATTTCGTGCCCCCACTCCACCCCAGCCTGTCCCTGATCCTGTGCCTGTGCCTGACTATGGTGGCGCGTTCGGTAAGAGCAATGGCCCTGCCAGCATCCCTCTATCCCTAAGAGTAGGAGGAGCCGGTGCAGTCTCTGTCCCCCATTCGCAGAACTCACACTCCGCTTCTGGGAGGTCTCCCTGCTGCCTCACCGCAGTCCCTTCTCAATGAGAGAAAGAGCTAGTTGGAAAAAAAATATATACTCTTTTAGTGAAGTCCACCTGGGGCTGAATACCCAAGGCTGCCTGGGCGGGGAGGGGGCTGGGCGAGCACTCCTTCAGGCCCTCAGTGCAGTGCGTGGAGAGGGAGGAGAGAGAGCACCAGCAGTTACACTCATCTCCAGCAGATGCACGGGATTGAAATTGCCCAATTCTCTCTGGTCTCTGTCTGACGTTCCTGAAAACAGCCTCTGATCCTCTCCATGTTTCGCTTCCTCACAGCCACAGCTATGGGCCGGTTTACTACTGATTGCTCTGCCCTTCCTTCCTGTGCTGGAGGGCATAGTCCTGGAGAGACCCATCCCAGATCTGGCAGCCTGACCCTCCCCTTCCCGACATGCTGAGGGAGTTTCGGGAGTGACAGCTGGGAGCAGCATGACCCCCAGGAGGGGGACAGGCTGGGGGGCGCCTCAGTCCCCAGGGAGATCCCAGGGGAAGTGGAGCCTTGAGCGCCCCGTGCCTGCCTGTGCAGGGAGCGAAGGAAAGGCAATGGCCTGAGCTAGAAGGGGCACCGACTTAGGGTGACGGGTGCTGCTGGAGTGCCTGGGCTCTGGTTACCTCTCCGTCTCCTCCGAGCCTTCGCCTTGCCTCTGTAAAACGGAGGAGAGAACACTCATACAGGGTGCTCTGCCGACTAAATAAGATCATACGTAGGTAAATACATAATGTCGATAGATCGAACCTGACCCATGGCAGATGGTCATGCATGTTACTAACGGTTCCGGTGATCGCTAGCCCTTACGGGGGCACATTGCAGGACAATGGCCTGAGCTTTTCCCATGTATTGCGTAACCATCACAGCGATGCTCTGAAGCGACTCCTTTTTACTTCCCCACTTGCAAATGGGAAAATGAAGAGGAGAAGTATTGGGAAATGTGCCCAGAGACACTTGCTTTGTGCCAGTGGCTGCCCCTGCCCAATCGGGGGACCTGGCAAGTGAGAAGTGAGCTCTGGAAACCTGATGGCCTGTCCTGGGAGAATTATCTCGCTGTGGTGCACACCCCGAGGCCAGGACTCGCTGGTATCTGTGCTCGTGGTAACGTGTGCGTGTGCCTCTTTGCATATTGTCACTGCATGACCCAGGCCCTATACGTGTCCTCCTTAAAGAGTTTCCCCAAAGAGGCCACCCCTTGGAGAAGCAAAAGGAGAAAAACTATAGTTTCTGCAACCAGTAGGAGCAAAACAGCAGGCAGGGAAGCCCGGTGCCTTCGGACAGAGGGAGAGAGCAATCCTACAGGGTGGGCACGTTACATCCCTGTTGGACAGAGGAAGCTGCTGGGCTGACAGCATGGGCAGGAAGTCACTCCCTCCTGACACTGGGAAGCAGGCTGGTGGGGATGAATGGAAGGGGCTTCCTTTGATGATGTCCTCGCCCAGATGAGCCTGTTTCTTTCCAGGGACCATGCCCAGCAGGTTGAGCGTGAGAAGCAGCTCTCCTGTGGCCGCCCTGCTACAGGCAGCTCATCCCAGATGCATGTGATTGACACGTAACGGGATTTGTTTAATTTTGAGTCCTCCTCTGCTGCCCTCTGCTCCCATCCTCACCGATGTGCCTAGTGGAGCAAGGAGAGGGGAACTTGGACTAGGGCCTTGCTTCTGCCCTTCCCTGGCTGTATGACTGTGACCACATCACCTCCTTCTTTGGTTCTTTCTGAGTTCTCACCCAGTCTGGAATTCTTTGTCCGTGTCCATAAGTCCAATCAGGTCACCCAGCCTAACCCGTCATGGTCGGGGCAGAAAGTAGCAGTGGGGTGTGCAGGGATGTCACTGCATTTGGGGTCCCCAGATGACAGACAGGGTATGATCACAGCATAGGAAATGGTGTGTGGGTGGGGGTAGATAGTACCCTGGCACTAGAATCAGGATTGGGGCTGAGGCTATGGTTATGGAGTGGGGGTGGGCCCCCTCCCAGATGCCTTAAAGCATCAAAAGAAATACCAGAGCAGAGAAGAGGAATGGTCTAACACAACTATCTCTAGTCACAGCTGTCCCCTGCCTAGTGCTTGCTTTGTGCCAGCTGCTGTCCTAGGTCCTTCGAGAGGCCAACTTATTTAGTCTTTGGAACTATTATGCTTCCAACTAGAGGCCCAGTGCACGAATTCGTTCATGAGTAGAGTTTGGGAGGCCAGGCCCCAATCTGGGTGGATCAGAGCCAGGCTGGCTGGGGGGAGGGGCCGCAGGCAATTGGCTGGTGGGCCCCATCCCCGATTGGAGGAAGGGGGGCTGATCAGGGGTGGGGCCAGCAGTGGAGAGGGGCTGTGGGCAGTGGGCTGGCCAGCCCCACCCCAAAATACTGTAGGATGGGGGGGGCTGGTGGGGGGTGCAGTGGCCTCGGGGAGGGGCATAGGTGGTTGGATAGCCAGCCCCACCCCTGATTGGGGTGGTGGGGGCTCATCAGAGGCAGGGCCTGCTGTGGGGAGGGGCCACAAGCAGTTGGCCAGTGGCCCTGCCCCTGATGGGGGGGGGGGACCTGGGGTGAGGCGAGTGGGGGGGGGGTGGCT